AATAGAGAACAAGGAAAAAGTGACTATGTAATTACCAGGGAGTAATATGAGGACATGTTTAGAATTAAAGGCTGTGACTCTCCAGATCAAAAGATTTCATCAAATGCATAGCATAATGGTTGGAGTAAAACACACACATACACACACACACGCACATACACACACATACACACGCAGGCACATACACACATACACAAACATACACACATACACACACACGCACACATATATACACACACGTACACACATACACACACACAAACACACACATACACACACACGCAGGCACAAACATATACACATACACATGCACACACACACAAACATACACACATACACACACACATACACACACATACCTCCAAGGCACATCACTGAGAAATATCAAAATGTTTTAAATGTTTGAAAAAAAAAAAAAGCCGGGCAGGGTGACTCATGCCTGTAATCCCAGCACTTCGGGAGACTGAGGCAGGTGGATCACCTGAGGTCAAGAGTTCGAGACCAGCCCGGCCAACATAGTGAAACCGCGTCCTACTAAAAAAAAATACAAAAATTAGCCAGGCGTGGTGGTACATGCCTTGGTCCCAGCTACTCGAGGGGCAGGGTGGGGGGTGGCTCACTTCCACGCTGCAGTGAGCCATGATCAAGATACATGCTCCAGCATGGGCAACAGAGTGAGACCCTGTCTCAAAAAAAAAAAAAATATGCAAGGCCTTAAAAATTTACTTCCAATGCACCGTTTCCTAGGAAGTTATTGGAGAATGTGCTTATCGGGGTAAGAGCATAAGCCAGAAAACAAGACAGGGGTTGATGGGAGAAGGCTCTATTCAGCACAGCAGACAGCCACGGGAATGATGGAGAAGTAGCTGAGTCCTGGCCAGCCTGCAAATCCAGGGAACACGTGTCAGACGGTGCAAGGGAGGAAGATCCCGAGGAAAATGGAACTGGCAGATTCTCTGAAGCACTGGACCACATAAAAGATTTCTGTGAACAAAAGACACCCCAAAGACAAAGCAGATTTTTCATTTGAGTGAATTAATAACTTCAGGAAAGACAAAAAGATTTACAGGAAAGGAAGTGTCATCATTGAGCAATTGGGCTCAACAGAGAACAATGTTTTCATGAATATAATCATGGAAACGCGTGTCGTGGTAACATTATGTTGAAAGATTACATGGAAGGAAAGCATATGGCGAGAGGGTTAGGCAGAGATGCTAAATCGTCATCTGAAATCAATAAACGATGTCTAACACGGAAAAATCAAGAAAGAGCAGTATCAGCGTATTTTGTAGAAATGTAGACCTGATGCCAGGAGAAACAAATAGAAGTTGAAAATGGCAGCCTTGCTGGGCGCGGTGGCTCACACATATCTGTAATAAAAAATATACATGAAAAATGGAAAGGCAATGAAGAGACAGTTCACAAAAAAAGAACAGCAGCTGACCCTTAAACATATGAAGAGACGTTTGATCTACCTAAAAACAAGAAAAGAGACTTAGACTCCCACACAATAATAGTGGGAGACTTCAACATCAATATTAGACAGATCAGTGAGACAGAAAGTTAACATCGATATCTAGGACTTGAACTCAGATCCGGAACAAGTAAACTTAATTCACATTTATTGAACTCTCCACTTTAAATACACAAAATATACACTCTTATCGGTACCACATCACACCTATTTACAGGTTTAAATGAAATATTGATTGGCTGCTTGTTAGTTATTTTCTTCCCTCATTGTTTTATTTTTTTTCATGTCTCTATTATTAAACACAATTATAGGCATACCCATTTTTAGACTGCATTCTAGCCCGAAAACAAAAAAAAAGAAAGAAAAACACAAATTCAAGCTAAATTGAGATATTCTTTGTCGTTTATCAGATTGGTAAAAATTCAGCAGTTGGATGACCCCCTCTTTTGGTAAGGCTGTGGGGAATGCAACATGATTCAACCCCTATCAAGGAGAAGATGCAATAATCACTAAGACAGAAGATACATTTGACTCAGCAAATCCTCTTCAGGACATGCACAGGAAAAGGACTTACGTTTAAGGTCATTCATTACAACATGGTTTATCATAGCAGAATGTAGATTAGAAATGATCCAAATGTCTGTCAATGGGGAAGTGTTTGATAAAGTATGCTCAGTCCCTTAGTGGAAAGCATTTATTTTCTCAATGAATAAAGGAAAAAAAATGACATAATTTTACAACCGGCTTCCAGGCTTTCGGAAGCACAGAGAGCTATATCAAAAGTCTCCCAGAGGCAGCGGTTGCAGGGAGCTAAGATCGCGTCACTGCGCTCCAGCCTGGTGACAGAATGAAACTCCATCTCAAAAAGAAAAGAAAAGAAAAGAGCCTCCCAAATAGAGCAGACTCCCTGACCTTCCTAAACCTGAGCATAAGAAGAACCCCTTTTGAAACCTTAGACACAAAGCAAGAGAGGCAGTGAGACCGCATCCGATTTAACGTCAGCCCAAGGTCTAGACCCCAGCTTGGCTACTTTTTTTTTTTTTTTTTTTTTTTTTTTGAGACGGAGTTTCACTCTTGTTACCCAGGCTGGAGTGCAATGGCGCGATCTCGGCTCACCACAACCTCCGCCTCCTGGGCTCAGGCAATTCTCCTGCCTCAACCTCCTGAGTAGCTGGGATTACAGGCATGCGCCACCATGCCCAGCTAATGTTTTATATTTTCAGTAGAGACGGGGTTTCACCATGTTGACCAGGATGGTCTCGATCTCTTGACCTCGTGATCCACCTGCCTCGGCCTCCCAAAGTGCTGGGATTACAGGCTTGAGCCACCGCGCCCGGCTGGCTACTTTTTGATTCACCGTGACACTCTGGCCCTCGGCTCCTCATCTGTAGGATGGGGATGAGACTCCCGGCCTCGTCGGGTTGCTGTGGGGATGGAGTGGACTAGTGTGTGTGACACGGAAGCTACAGGGCCTGGCCCACCATAAGCGCTCCACACACAGGAGCTGATATTAATAGTAGCACCGGAAGAAAGAATCCTGTCTCCAGGACTGTACTCATTGTGGAAGGAAAGTCACGTTGGAAATCTCAAGAGAAGAGGCAAAAGTCACTGCTCTGAGGAGAAGAATTGAAGGAATTTCCTCTCATGCTCAGGCAGTTTGGGAGAGGCTCCGCATACGCAGGAGATACCTACGCCCGCGAGTTCTGAGCTTCTCACTGCTATCGCCTCCTCTGATGACTGGCAGAGACTCCTAAGAACCATAGATCAGCAGGGCTTAAAGGACCTGAGCCCAAATACCCGTTTAGAATGAGAAAACCGAGGACCAGAGAAGGCCAGTGATGAACTCAAGGCCCCACAGCCAGCGGACCTGGTCCACAGCCAGGCCAACCCACAAAACTGCTACCAGGTATGCATTTCACGATAGCAAGGAATACAAAAGAATAAACCTAAATGCGAGTACCCAGGGCATTGAACTAACCTGACTTTACTCACTCCTTAAAGGGCCGTAATCAACGTAAAGCATGTGATTGAGGCTGGCGGAGAAAGCAAGGTGTTTCTATCAACCCATTTTGATGGCTGTGTTGACGCTTTACATTTTACACACTTCCCGCAGAATGAAACCCCAAACCTGGTGGCAGCTTGCATTGCAGTAACAAGGATTTCCAGAATGTACCCCATCCCTGCTCCAGCAATGACTGGCTATGTAATGCTGAGCTTTCATGTCCTCATTTGTGAAAGAAGATATCAGCCACCTTCATCATGCTGTTATAAAAATAAAATCAGGTAACTATGTCTGTCTGGCATACAGCAGCCACTGCTTTCCCCAAAGCCAGCTGTCTCCTGGCCTTATCAGCACCGGAGACCTCATCAGTCCTGCCACAACCGCCGATCCTGCTCTGGGAGTTACAAAGAAAGGTTTTTCCCCAGGCACCTCAGGAAAAAAAAAAAAAAAAGAAAGAGAACACCTTCCATAATACTTTCATAGGCCAATGGCTTTCAATTTCCTCAGCCAGAATCAAGAGCTAAGCAGAACCTCATTAAGAAGAATTATAAGGGTATTTCTTTTCAAGTTACCAAAATGCCTTCTTCCTTATCCACATTGCCCTTGCAGGCTGCTTCCCCGTGTCCGTGCTGACATGGAGAACACTGGATCCAGAAGCGTTCACCGGGCTCCTGGTACTATAAAATTCCTACCCCGGGGACGTGCTCATGCGAAACTCTCAATAAATCGTTCTTAGCTGAACCAAGCAGAATCAGGAAAAGAATTCCAAGGAAGATACATTGAGCATCTACTTCCTATAGGCTAGATACTGGGTAAGCCCCCTTCTGTGCTCTTGTTTAATGATGACAATGCTGAGAGGTGATCACCACTGTCCTCACCTTACAGATGACGAACCAGTCAGAGCACTGTGCCTTGCCTAAAGTTTCACTGTTGAGAAGGAACCGGGTCTCCTGACTCCAGGTCTTCCCACTGTGAGGCCACCAGTTTATTGCAGCTGGAGGTCTCTCGCATCTAAAGCATCGTTGTAACTGCTTTCCCTTTCTGCACTCTGCCTGTGCACACAGAAGCCCCTAATTTGTAACAAGTCCTTTGATAACTCCAAGAGAGGGCCACATCCTTTTTCTCTATGTCTGTTGATTAACGAAGATGACACTATGCTTCCAACACATTAGTCAGACCAAGGGGAAAAATCCCTGACTTCAGGGATTTTCCATCCTTTGGAACAAGGAAATATACACAGAAGGGTTACCGTAAAACATAAATATTGCTTTTTAAATGATGCCAGTCTCTCTTTTAATGTGGCCTGAATCCTAAAAATTTAAAGTGTGATTGTGTCCATTCTTATATTTTAAGTAAACACACAAGCCTTAATATATGTGTAAGCCAAAAAAAAAAAAAAAAAAAAATATATGTGTAAGCCATAAATATCACGGCCAGCTATTTAAGAGTGGGTTCTCACGCTAACACAGCTCTTCCTTGCCCCTTCCTTGCACCCAGTTTGACTCCAGTCCTAGGCGTGCTAACCTGAAATAGTTGCTGGCCGCGGCAAGCACCACGCGGTGGCAGGAGAATTCCTGAATGTCCACACAGAGGATGACGTCTGTCAGCGCGTTTTCCATTCGCAGAGTCTCCAGGCCATTCTGAAGAATTAAGGAGAGTCCCGCGTCATCAAATTTTACCTTTTCCCCATTTAAGATCTCCACCAAGTCTCCCCTCTTCCGGGAGGGCTCATCTGCAGAAGGCGCCAGGGGCCCTTCCAAACTCTTCTCTACCACGTCACCCATGGTCCAGGCGCCCCTTTGTCCTGCCGTCAACATGGATTCTGAAGGAGCGCCCAAGTGTCAGGCAGGCCCCATTGCAGAAGCTGAGCGGATTTCCTGTGCAGGGCCCCCCACTTAGCAGCAGCTGTCACACACGCATAACAGGAAGTCTCGCACTTTCTCATCCTGTTACTACAAATGCCAGCAACTTCTATTCTTCTTCTTTCTGTGAATAATCACAGGGTTAGAAATGACTTAGAATAGGCATGTGGGAGGGGGCTCTGGAGGAGGAGTGGCCTCTTTGAGTCCCCTGTGAGTGCCGTGTGTTTATTTTGGTGCATCTCCCACCTCACATCCGTGAGCAGAAAGCCTCCGTTGGTGGCTAGGACATGCCCACCCGTGGTGCTTCCATAACCCAAGTCATCAATGAGGGGATGGACAGGAGACATTCCATAATCCTCCCAGGGGTCTGAAACCCCCCAATGATCCAACCCCTGCCCTTTGCACACCTTGGAAAGCCCCACTTATCCCTAGCAGTCTCATTTCCCGCAGCACTGCCGATCATGCACCTTCCTCCTCCTCCCTGCTCAGGGAAAATCAATGTCATGGCAAACATGAATGTCTTCTCCCCACAGAAAAATGTCTAGGCCAGGCACAGTGGCTCACACCTGTAATCCCAGCACTTGGGAGGCCAAGGTGGGTGGATCGCCTGAGGTTGGGAGTTCAAGACTAGCCTGACCAACATGGAGAAACCCCTGCTCTACTAAAAATATACAAAAATTAGCCAGGCATGGTGGCGCATGCCTGTAATCCCAGCTACTAGGAGGCTGAGGCAGGAGAATTGCTTAAACCTGGGAGGCGGAGGTTGCAGTGAGCTGAGATCATGCCTTTGCACTCCAGCCTGGGCAACAAGAGCAAAACTCCATCTAAAAAAAAAAGTCTATTGTTTCAGATATGCTTTGGGGACACAAAAGAAATGATTTCTGAAACTCCATCACCAGCATCTTCTCAGAAGACGAGTCAAGGTAGGTCCACACTTAGTTGCCCCAGCAAGTCTCAAACTAGCCCAGCGTCCACTGACCATGCGTCTAATGGGGGATCCTGAAGTCTTTTTATTACCTCTGCAGGTCTCAGTTAAGTAGTAATTACCGTCATTATTAAAATCTCATGATATCCTGGGGAATTTATAGGAGCGTATTAGTTAGCGTTCTCCAGAGAGACAGAACCAAAAGGATACCTGGGAGAGACAGCAGAGGAAAATTATTGGGGGAACCGCTCACATGATCATGGAGGCTGAGAAGTCGCATGACAGGCCCCGGAGGGCTCAGTTCAAGTCCAAAGGCCTCAGAACCAGGGAAGATGGTGTAACTCTCAGTCCAAGGTCAAAGGCCTGAGAGCCCAGGGGGAGGGGAGACTGGGGTACATCTTGAGTCCCAAGGCGGGGGATCCTGGAATTCTGTTGCTCAGTGCAGCAGATGACTGTGTGCAGCTCCTGGAGGCAGAGACATTCAGCTTTCCTCTGTTTTTGTTTTCTCCGGGCCCCTGGCTGGCTGGACGGTGCCCACCCACACTGAGAGTGAATCTTCTCTACCGAGTCCACTCAGGCTCACACACTAAGCTGTCCTGGAAACAACCTCACAGACACGCCCAACACAAGCGCTTTCCCAGGTTGCTAGGTATTTCTTAGCCCAGTAAACTTGACATCTAAAATTAACCGTCACAAGTACAGTCATGTCTAGCACAATGATATTTCAGTCGGTAATGGACTGCATATAAAATTGTAGTCCCGTAAGCTTACAACGGAGCATATAAAGAAACCTGACAGACCGCACGTATTGGCAGGGCAGATCAGGTCGTGGAAACGGCTGATTCAGTATGGTGCTGCTCTCATCCACCTCCAGGGGTTGGGAGCACCACCAGTCCTCCCAATCAACAGTCTCAGCCTTTTTCTCCAACCTGCTCAGTGGAGACTGAAGCCCCCTCCAGGAATTTCAGTTCTGCTCCATGGATCATTACTCCTACAATCAAGATCTTTGATATTACCCCAACTCGTCCTTTATCCACAGCTGTATCAATTAACATGTCTTTTGCTTTCGTAATGGAATAGCCCATCAAAAGTCGTTTAAACCAACAGGAATCTCACATGCTAAGAAGCCAAGGAGGAAGAGTCATCAAGATAGCTGACTAGAAGTGCCCAACACTTACCTCCTCCACAAAGAACAACCAAACCAGTAAGCAGATAACCACACACTGAATGATGTCTCTAAGAGAGAGCACTGGAATTCCCCAAGAAATCAACAGAGACCCATAGAGGCAGGCAAAGAAAACAGCTGGGAAGTAAAGCAGATGGCCTTGCTGCCTGAGACTGGCTCAGAGCCAAGACGGACTCTCCATTGTGGAGAAAAGGTGAGCAGCAGGTCCCCTAGCAGTCCACATCCCCACCCTGGATGCTCTTGATTCTAGCCACAAGGGAGCTCCTTAGCTCCCACAGGCCGTGAGCCTGATATGGGGAACCGATACGGAGCCTGGAGTCCACACAACTGCACTGTTGCAGCAAGGGGGTTGGTACTGGGTCCTACTCACCCCGAAGACCCCAGCAACTGCAACACAGTGCCATTTTGAGAGCCCATATACCAGCCATAGTCAGTGAGAAAATGCCACGGGAAAGTAATACCATTCATGATGGTAATAAAACAGATGTCAATGCCTAGGGATCACCGCAACCAGCAACATAGAGAAAACTGTCAAACTCCACTAAGAGATGTGAAAGAAAACTTAAACAAATATACCAAGCTCCTTTATGGAAAGCCTAAATATTACTAAAAGGACCAGTTCTTTCCAAATGCATTTGTACGTTTATTTTACTCTAATAAAAATTACAAGAAAATTTGGAGTTTAGGTTTTCTGTTTTGTTTTGTTTTGTTTTTTGACAGAGTCTTGCTCTGTCACCCAATCTGGAGTACAGTGGCCTGATCTCAGCTCGCTGTAACCTCCGCCTCCCAGGCTACTGTCATTATTAAAATCTCATGATATCCTGGGGAATTTATAGGAGCGTATTAGTTAGCGTTCTCCAGAGAGACAGAACCAAAAGGATACCTGGGGAGAGACAGCAGAGGAAAATTATTAGGGGAACTGCTCACACGATCATGGAGGCTGAGAAGTCGCATGACAGGCCCCGGAGGGCTCAGTTCAAGTCCAAAGGCCTCAGAACCAGGGAAGATGGTGTAACTCTCAGTCCAAGGCCAAAGGCCTGAGAACCCAGCGGGAGGGGAGACTGGGGTAAGAATTGAGTCCAAAGGCTTCTCCTGCCTCAGCCTCCCAAGTAGCTGGGACTACAGGCAAGCACCACCACACCTGGCTAATTTTTGGTATTTTTAGTAGAGACGGGGCTTTTGACATGTTGGCCAGATTGGTCTCAAACTGCTGGGCTCAAGTGATCCACCGCCTCGGCCTCCCAAAGTGCTAGGACTACAGGCATGAGCCGCCACACCTGCCCCAAGTTTAGGTTAAATTTAAACGAATGGTATCAAGATAGGCTCAAAGCTCAGTGGGACCATATGTAAAAGGATAAACATTAGGAATAGACTTTAAAGTGGACCCAGAGTCTTTTCTCCCTGGAAACTACAAAATTGAGATAAATATGGAATGTCGTATTCAGAAGCCCCGTATCTGAGTTGGAAATTGAGACTGCGTCCCAGTGTCAAAGTGATCTGGATCTTCCAGACGGCTGAGATGTCTCATTCTCACTGATCCAGTGGCAAAATTTCTGATGCGATTTTTAGAAAACATGTTTCTCAGTAAGAATAAGTAGTCACTCAAAGAAGGATATTCTGATGACATATTTATAGTTGCAAGGAGTCGCTTGAAGAAAGGTTGTTTCTTTCTTTTCAACATTTCATCCCTGTCTGGCTTCCTAGCCTGATGAATGGGAGGGCAGATTTTTACTTTCCGACCTGACCTTTTCTTTCTCAGCCCTTTGGAGATTAATAGTCATGAATTTAAATTGAGACCTGGCAGATGGCCAAGGTCAGCTTCCAGAACTCACATGCTTAGGCCAGGTGTGGTGGCTGTGTCTGTAATCCCAGCACTGGGGAGACCGAGGCAAGAAAATCCCTTGAGCCGAGAAGTTCCAGACCAGCCAGAGCAACATGACGAAACCCCATCTCTACAAAAAAAATATAAATTAAAAAAATTAGTCAGATGTGACGGCATGCATCTGTAGTCCCAGCTACTTGGAAGGCTGAGGCAGGAGGACTGCTTGAGCCCAGGAGGTAGAGGCTGCAGTGAGCCATGTTCTCACCACTGCATTCCAGCCTGGGCAACAGGACAAGACCCTGTCTCAAAAAAAAAAAAAAAAAAAAGCCATCCGTTGAGCTGTGTTCAGGACAACTATGGAGGCTCCAGTCGTCAGACTTCAGTGTCAAGGTGAAGTAGAGATGAAGCCAGGTGAATGAAGGAGAACTAGGTAAGACGGGATAGAGGGTGAGAGGAACAAGGCGGGAATGCAACACCGTCTAGGATTTTCGCATACGTCGGAGCTGGGCCCCAGGATGCCCACTTAGTCCAGCTGGTGGCCTTCTGCTTGGCTAAGGGGGCCTCACCGAAACATGAAGGACCAACACAGACCCCACGCCTCACCCCAGCCGCAGCTGCTGTGACCTTGCTCCTGTGCATAGCCGTCCAACCTTCTCCCTGGTCACTCTCCTCTGCTGTATATATTTTAATGCTCTGAATCTGTGTTCAAAGTACTGCTTTGCTGGCCGGGCATGGTGGCTCAGGCCTGCAATCCTATCACTTTGGGAGGCCACAGCGGGTGGATCACCTGAGGTCGGGAGATTGAGACCAGCCAGATCAACATGGAGAGACCCTGTCTCTACTAAAAATACAAAAAAAAAAAAAAAAATGAGCCAGGCTTGGTGGCGCATGCCTGTGATCCCAGCTACTCGGGAGGCTGAGGCAGGAGAATCTCTTGAACTGGGAGGCAGAGGCCGTGTTGAGCAGAGATCGTGCCATTGCTCACCAGCCCGGGCAACAAGAGCAAAACTCTGTCTCAAAACAAAACAAAACAAAACAAAAAGTGCTGTGTTGTTTTATCCTTGCTATCGATTGTACCTTTTGTTAGTATTAAATGGCCCTTTTTATCGTGTTAATTTTTTTCTTTAAATGGTTTTCT